ATATATATATATATTTATATACATATATATATATATCGGGTGGGGCGAAAAAAAGGACGACTGTTTGATTAACTATAACTTAAAAAGTAAAAGAGCTATTGCACGTAAATAAGTCACCGTATATTCCACGATGTTTAACTTAAATTTTGATATATGTCTTGTACCTTTTCATGCAATATTGACTGAGATAACTGTGTTTAAACTTAAACAAACATATATATATATATATATATATATATATATATATATATATATATATATATATATATATATATATATATATATATATATATATATATATATATATATATATATATATATATATATATATATATATATATATATATATATATAGTATAGTATATATATATATATATATATATATATATATATATATATATGCACATGGAAAGTGCAAACATCACAATATGACAAAATGTCGGATTGGAGACAGTTTAAGATCAAGCAACCTGAAAAACGAATGGCAAAACCAGGGACTGAGAAAGGCAAAGGCGAGTCAAAGGATTTGAAGGACGAAATCATAGTTCAGAGAATGAGCTCCGAAGTGACAGGAAAACAGCAGAAGTATACTCGAATTGGCCCACAAGAGTTTGTTCCATTTAAATACGATGAGTTGACATTCGAAAACATAGTTGAATCTTAAATTTTTTCTGTGTTGGTGTTGTGTACTCAGGTGAATAATATGTTTGTGATGTTACTCTGAGTGCATATCCACACCGGGCAAGCTTGAAAAATATGCCCGGCCACGGTGGGACATATTATTCACCTGAGTACACAACACCAACACAGAAAAAAATCTTATTACAAGAACACATTGGTATTGAAGGAAATAGATACTGTTCCGAAATATCACTTACTCGAACCGTCCTGACCGCGTAGCTCAGTTGGAAGAGCATTGGGCTGGTATTCCAAAGGTCGTAGGTTCGAATCCCACCGTGGCCGGGCATATTTTTCAAGCTCGCCCGGTGTGGATATGCACTCAGAGTAACATCACAAAACACAAACATACATAGTTGAATCTTGTCAAAAGTATTTCGCTAAGCACATTGAAAAAGGCATGGTATGTGACATCCTCGCGGGAGAACGTGGCCCATCTTGTAAAAACATGAACCAAATTCCAGATATTAAGGTATTCTACTTGAGATTTGTTAAACCCGAAGCTCCAAACGAAATAGATGAAGAAACCGATGATCATGAATCTACCCAGGTATTTCAATAAACATTTACACTAATAACAATAATCTTGACCATCTAGAGTTTTGCTTTGTCCCTACCAACTTGCGTTATATTTAAGGAAATTTTAGAAGTCCTTCCCAATAGACCTTTCCAAGGTTTCTACCGCCATATCCAGGTGATCTCGTGTTCGTATTTTAGCCAATCAGCGCTCAGAAAGGGTTGTCCGGATAGAAATCCATTTTGATGTATTCAGTCAATTATATCTTTCGTTATTCTTTATGAAACTAGTTGAAATTTTGTAATTATGTTTGCTTATGAGAACTATAGCTCTGACATCCTCGTTCCCAGGGCTTCTCGGCTGCCTGCGTTGCCGTAAGCCCTGGGATAAGCCAAACCGGAACACCACAAATTCTGGTGTTTTCCGGAAGTAAACGCGCTCTGCTGCAAGCTAAAAATGCTGACTATGCACTAATTTTTACTGAGGAGTGGAGACGTGTTGGTGAGCAGAAAATATTGGATTTTTCTTTTGTTTCGATGTATTTTCCACCATCAAGGGAATATATACAGACTACCTAATCGAATTATACATATTGTGGGTTTATATTTCGTTATATCGTTAATATTCGTCAAAATACAACCCTATTTCGGTCTCGTATTACATGTATATCAATTTTCATGTATGATGTAAACATGATCGAGTCGAAATGTGCTCGAAGTGGCCGCTGTGATTCGAAACATCATGGGTTCTTGTACAGATGACCTGTTTCAACACGCGCTTGTAAAGTCACTTCAAAGACTGGACAAAGAACGACATGTGACATGTCTAAACGGCGGTGTGTGTCTGTTTACTGGGTTACAACAACGGCAATATTAACAATGAATCACCAAACATTTCAAGAAAATATAAATTATAGATAGATGTCATGCATGACCCCATGAGTTTTGGATTTGAATTGCTAGATTTAAAGGTCTTTAAATCTATATTATGTATACAAAATCATGCGTGCGTAAATTTGAGCAAAAAAGCACAAGGTGTTTGTTTGGCCATATGCCCATCGTGTAGTATGAATATTGAACACCGGTACCGTTTTATATAGCACGTTTAAAACGTTATTTCCATGCTGGATAATCCTGAATCCTTCACCGATTACATGCGTGGCAAATGACGAAAAATAATTATGTGAAATAATTAACCTATAAATATGTCTTTGGCCATGAATGCAACTCACTATGCTTCTTTATACATCTGACAGTCAAAACTATGTGCATGACTACATGGCCCAATGTATGTTAATTGTTTCAGGGAAATTTTTGTGTTCAGATTAAAGTATAACAATATTTTCTGCATTCCAATATATTTTCTACATGCAAGTGCACATTCTGTTTCAGATAGGGGCCAAATCATTTGAGGCTGAATGGGATAGCAAATGATTGGAGGGTAGTGTTAGCAAATTTGACTCCCTTACATAATGTCAAGTTATCACTGGTCAATTTTTAAATTTCTTACAATTTCACATCAGGGAGTTCATTGCCCCCCCCATTATCCAGAAGTGTGACAAAGCGTTTTCTAATATCTATCCAGGTGTCCAATCTAAATCTCCACCACAACAGGATGTATACTCGAGTGATGGTAAGGGAGGTGGGGTTAAAATTCTGATTTATCAATATATTACTACACATTTCCACATTAAAAATATGAAAAGTTTTCCAGTTCAAAATATCTATAGTGCTCAGGAGGCTTAAACCAGAATTTCAGAATACAAAGCAACTTTTATGTAATTTTTGTAATGGTTTGTTTAAAATCAATTTTTATACAGACATGGTAGGGTGTCTCCTGGCTAGAAGCCTGCATATACATATACAAATTTTCAGTTTGGTCAATAATAATAGTTTATTTTATAATTTCAATTCTTACAAGATTTACAATAAGTCAACAGAATAGTATTCTATTCTGAACTGTTGACAGGAAACAGTGTAAATTCATGATCTCTTAATCCAATATGACACAAGAATTCGAGACCCCCACCTCGGGCATTCACTTAATTTGGTGTGTGAAATTCAGTGAAGTCCCCTGCAGCCAGGACAAAATGGCAAGGTAAATTTCTTCGGTCCTATCATCCCCAGGTATTCAATTGGAATTTTTACTTGAAATTTCCCAAACCATTCCTTTACTGTTCTGTAAAAGCCTTTCCTAGCTGACTGCTTTATTTCAGCATTTATATAAAAGACTAAACCTTTCCTAGCCGACTGCTTTGTTTCAGCATTTATATAGCCAACTGCTTTATTTCAACATTTATATAAAAGACTAAGTGCCCCCCTCCCCCATGACCTCATTCATTCCTCGACTTGGACACTGAAAGTAAGTGTCTTCCCTGTTTGCCAAGAAATGATAAACCTGTGAATAAGAGGCGATTGTCCTTGCATTCCCCTCTGGTATGCCAAAGGTGCAGGGATTCAAATGACTGGTGCAACTGAATATGCTTATAAGCTTATTCACTGTATTTAATTAAATGCTACTAAAATTACTTACTAATAATACAACTGAGAAAATTCAGAAATAGTAAAATACACCTATAATATTCTATATGCTATATTTAAAAATTCCAATTGGCCATTTTAATATAGGGCCACTTTAATATAGGTGCGTAATAGGCCAAGTGACCAATACCAAAAGCATAATAATTAATAAAATGCAATATAATAATATATTACACCATTAAAACTTTACTATCGTAAATATATATTATTAAACATTTTACATTTACAATGTGCTTAAAATTTTACAATTATACTTGAGCACAATGTTTTAATGATAGGCAACTTTATAACAAGAAAATGTTAAAATGAAGAAACTTTTTAATGGCTTCATAATTGACGTTTCTTCGATATTGTTGCTTACTTCTACTTTATAATTGTCCATTTTGCTATTTTCTTTCTTTCTGTTTGCAAATTATCTCCATTAATCCATAGAAAACAAGCATTATACGTTTGTATTTCTTTGTATTTCGAACGCGCACTCCTTGAAGGCAACCATATTGCCGAATATAAACATCCACTTGATGAATAAACTTTTCATACTTCACTCTATTTCCAACGACCAATCAAATCACTTCTGCTTCGGCTTGTCCCAGGGCTTACGGCAACGCAGGCAGCCGAGAAGCCCTGGGAACGAGGATGTAGCTCTGACAAAAATATGGAATCGAAATAAAGTATATTAAAGGAGATATTCAGTTGTTTTAATCATAAAATGGATTTCTATTTGACAACTAGTGCCAGTACTTTTCCGCGTATCAAGATCATCTGGATTGCAGGGGGTGCAAAAACATTGGGGCGAGCGCGCGGCCACCAATGGCGCCCATACTATTTCCTATTGAGTGAGTGAAAATTACCTTTTGACATTTTGTCCTTTTTCTCGAAAAATTTCTGTACAAGCATATCCAATTTTTATTTTTAGATAATCGCTGGGTTTTTTCTGATATGTGGCTGAGATTTTTTGCTAATCGAAGGACAGGAAGTAATAAAAAACGGCGGCTTTTATTGTAAAACTTGACCGACATTTGAGAGATGATTTTTGTACAAATATACAAATATAAACAGTAATAATGGCGGACACCAAAGGACTTACACACTTAATGACAAATATTCTTCCAAAGATTGGTTAAACAAACGAAACAACAAGAATCATCGCTCAAACGTCGGTCAAGTTGTGCAACAAAAGCCGCCGTTTTTTATTACTTCCTGTCCTTCGATTAGCAAGAAATCTCGGCCACATATCAGAAAAAACCAGCGATTATCCAAAAATAAAAATTGGATATGCTTGTATAGAAATTTTTTGAGAAAAAAGACAAAATGTCAAAAAGTAATTTTCACTCACTCAATAGGAAATAGTATGGGCGCCATTGGTGGCCGCGCGCTCGCCCCAATGTTTTTGCAACCCCTGCAATATGGCGGTAGAAACCTTGGAAAGGTCTATTGGACTATTCCGATTATTATCTGCACCCCCCCTGTTGAGGAATCCCTTTCCCATGGAATTTCCATTTTAAATTAGGCCTTACCCATGGAATTTCCATTTAAAATTTGGCCCTGTCCATGGAATTTCCATGTGTAAATTACCCCTCCCTATGGAATTGCCATCATGGGACATTTACTCCTGGAAATTTCTTTCTAACAAGTGTCCTCCCATGGAATTTCCATCCCATCAAATTTACTCGTCTGGAAATTCCATGTGAGAATTACTCCTCCCCTTGGAAATCCAGAGCCTGAATACCCCTTTCCCTGGAAATTCCAGGGTTAATGTATTCCCTCCCCTGAAAATTTAAAGTTAAATATGCACTTCTCCCCTGGAAATTCTAAGGTTAATACACCCCCTCCCCTGGAAATTCCAAGGTTAATACACCCCCTCCCCTGGAAATTCCGAGGTTCCTCAACAGGGGGGGTGCAGATAATAATTGGAATAGCCCATTTAGTAAAATTGCCCACCATTGCCCCCATTCCCTCGGGAGTTTTTTTGTGAATGGTTTCTTATGTTTACATCATTCACTATATAGCCACCAAAGAGAGCTAAGCGACGTGCCATGTCTTTTCCAAGCCCTAAAAAGTCTTCATCCAAACATAACAATTCAAGCAAGTACCCTAAAAGTTTATCCGTTAAAGATATGTTGCACTTGGGAAAAGCCCTTCCAAAGAAGGAGTCAACCATTATATCAATTTTTCAATTTAATTTCAAACACATGCGTTGGTCAAGTGTACCCATTAAAGCAGAGTTCATGATTGAAGAATTGCCATTTGCTACTGGTGGATTCAGGGAAGCCTTAAAGGCCACAAGTATAACAGCTGGCTTTGAAGAAACAACATGGGTAGTGAAGAAATACCCGACCACTGCTGTAGACGTAATTAGAGAAACTAACGAGACAGAACAAACACATGCACAGAAGTCAGTACAAATGCATTATTTGGCAAAAAATTTTGCTTCACAGCTAAATGAAAAAATTGTCAAAGATGGAATAACAGATTTTGGTGAAACCTTTTCATACAAGAAAGTCTTCATGGGTAAAACAGATGATGGGGAGTATGTAACAATTGAGGAGTACATAGATGGCGACTTTGTCAAATACATAAATAACGATGGAGATATCTGTGAAGATGGAGACATTTGTGATAAGGCGCAGGCATTTGCTCACTTCACATATGAAAAATCAGAGGGCAAGTTAATTGTTTTAGACATCCAGGGTGCTGGGTACAATCTATACGATCCCGAAATTGCTTCATTGCATTTGCTAGGTGATGAAGGCAATTACATGTTTTGTACTGGGAATTTGTCTGAAACAGCAATAACATCCTTTTTTGGCATTCATGAATGTAATAAGTTTTGCAGACTCTTGTGTCTTAAGTTGAGACCAAAGAAGACCAATGCCCAATAATTTAACAATCAGAACTCTAAACTTTGAAAGACAGTTACAAAAATTATTATATTTGATGTTATGTTATACAACTTTGTAGAGTTATGTTACATGAGTCTGAGGACTGAGAACTCTTGGTAAATAATGTGCATTTTTATGAACAAATTTTAATACAAAATTTTATAATATAGTATTAAAGCTTGTAATACAGAGTACGTCAAATTTTCCCTCATGACATTTTCCTTTTGACAATTAAACTGATCTGGCATTAGACAGCAAAATGCTGAAGTACAGATGTGTATGGTAAATCAGGGCACACTGCCATTAATGGGTTGATGGTCAATATGACCAAATGTGCCCTATTATACAAGTAGGGCACTAATAAGGTAGGGTGCATCAGGGCGCAATGCGATTCAATGGATTAATTGTGAACCATAATTACTGTACAGTATTTGTACTTTTACAGTTATATTAACATTCAGTTATATTAACATTCTGAGCTTAAAAGAAAAACTACATTGAAAGAGTGCATTTCTCCTTCAAGTACAAATATGCATTTGTCCATTCATCTGGCTTAATCGTGTCATTGTCTGGAATGAGACGCTCGCATTCTGCTCTGAACTCTTCAGTGAGAAAGTCATCTGGGACTTGAAGAACACCAGATTCTGTTGCAGCCTCTTGAAGTTGTTCCTCAGTAACTGCAAAACCTGTAGTAGAAATGAATGGAAATTGTCTTTTTAGATATTTATTATAGTAACTGTATATAGTCGTCAGTTGATGCTACTTGCCTGCCTGACACTCCCCACAATTTGTTTCATGTAAAATGGCCAGAACAATAATTTTCAAAGGTTCCAATAAAATAGGAGGGGGACAATTCTGCCCTGGGCCCCCATCTCGAAAGGGCCCTGCAAAGCAGCTGTGGTCTATAAAACCAACAGTCGATTATAATTTTGTGATGAATTTCACAATTAACAATTATTCCCATCATTTGCAGGATAATAAAACCAATACAACTTACCGCATTCTTCAAGATTGTACTGTTCAGGGAAGTTATAAATATGTTCCGGTACACCATCAGGAAGTAGTGTGTCTTTTTGGGCTCGGATTCTGTGTGTGTTCCACACTTTTTCCCTGAAAATATCTAACTCTTTCTGTATAAGTGGCACCATAATAAAAGCCAAAAGCATCCTATATTAAAAACAAAATACCAAAATTTGTGATGGATCACCAAGTGAATGTTTCAACCCATGAAATATAATTAATATCACTATGTATTATTGACACAAGATGGGATGGAATCCTATATCAGATTTATATTTTGTACATTCACATTTTGCAGATTGAAAGAGAAAGAAAGTATTGCTTCTGATGAGCACAGACCATGGGCACTTGTCTGTGCCCTAACGTAGTATTTTACTCCAACTCTGTCTAAAACAGAATGCCTTTAATGGGTTTAGTTAAACAATTAAAGTTATAGGAATAAAGGTTGTTGCAACACTTTTGCTTTAGAATATTTATGAAAATGAGTACCACTGCAGGGGTGATTTGAAACATACTGTACGTACTAGTAGTTGATCTGAACAATGGGTATTTACTTAACTTTCACAATGTTTACCTGTCAGTGTTATTATGAGGGTCATAGTGGCATTGGTCTTTCAGCCAACACAACTGTGTTTTAAAGAACTTTTCCATTCGTTTGTGGAGCTCTTTCCACCATCTTTAGTCAATCTACAAAATAAATACATGTCACAAGGTTTGTTAACATCTTTTAATCTCTGTTCAATTATTTTCTCACTACCACCACATGTGTAGTCTGCGACAACAAAAGTAGCAGTGTCTTTAATAAATTTTTACACACATACATACTAGACCAAACCCTAACAAATTACAAGGGTAGGAGGGTAGAAACTACCATATTTATGGAATAAGATGCTATATTTTGAAGTGCATGCCCATATAAGGGCATAGAACCTTTCCTTGGGGCCCCCAGTGTGAGAAACCTGTTTCTCACTTCTTTCATACTTCAGCCAGCAAGAAACATAATTCAAATAATAAGGGGGCAGTGAGATCAGTTTTCTGGTGTGTTTATCCAATACAGATACTGTGTATTATACAGTATACCTGGTAATACAGGTTATATCGTTGTGTTACGCGCACGAAATGTACATATTACGTCATTTATAATAGATAGCAATGACGTCATATACACGATATTCTGTTGTAGACGTTATAGTCGTTATTGGCGTTATAGACGTTATTGGCGTTATAGGCGTTATTGGCGTTATAGACGTTATAGTCGTTATTGGCGTTATTGGCGTTATAGTCGTTATAGGCGTTATTGGCGTTATTGCCGTTATAGGCGTTATTGGCGTTATAGTCGTTATTGGCGTTATTGGCGTTATAGGCGTTATAGGCGTTATTGGCGTTATAGACGTTATAGTCGTTATTGGCGTTATAGTCGTTATAGACGTTATAGTCGTTATTGGCGTTATAGGCGTTATTGGCGTTATTGCCGTTATAGGCGTTATTGGCGTTATAGGCGTTATATGCGTTATAGGCGTTATTGCCGTTATTGGCGTTATTGACGTTATTGACGTTATAGGCGTTATAGTCGTTATTGGCGTTATAGGCGTTATAGACGTTATTGGCGTTATTGACGTTATAGGCGTTATAGGCGTTATTGGCTTATAGGCGTTATTGACGTTATAGGCGTTATTGCCGTTATAGGCGTTATTGCCAAGTTATAGGCGTTATAGACGTTATTGGCGTTATAGGCGTTATAGGCGTTATAGACGTTATTGGCGTTATAGGCGTTATATGCGTTATAGGCGTTATAGTCGTTATTGGCGTTATAGGCGTAATAGTCGTTATATGCGTTATAGGCGTTATAGTCGTTATTGGCGTTATAGGCGTTATAGACGTTATTGGCGTTATTGGCGTTATAGACGTTATAGTCGTTATTGGCGTTATTGGCGTTATAGTCGTTATAGGCGTTATTGGCGTTATTGCCGTTATAGGCGTTATAGGCGTTATTGGCGTTATTGGCGTTATAGACGTTATAGTCGTTATTGGCGTTATTGGCGTTATTGGCGTTATTGCCGTTATTGGCGTTATAGGCGTTATATGCGTTATAGGCGTTATTGCCGTTATTGGCGTTATTGACGTTATAGGCGTTATAGTCGTTATTGGCGTTATTGGCGTTATAGACGTTATTGGCGTTATTGACGTTATAGGCGTTATAGGCGTTATTGGCTTATAGGCGTTATTGACGTTATAGGCGTTATTGCCGTTATAGGCGTTATTGCCAAGTTATAGGCGTTATAGGCGTTATTGGCGTTATAGGCGTTATAGACGTTATAGGCGTTATAGGCGTTATAGGCGTTATAGTCGTTATTGGCGTTATAGACGTTATTGGCGTTATTGACGTTATTGGCGTTATAGGCGTTATAGGCGTTATTGGCGTTATAGGCGTTATAGGCGTTATAGGCGTTATAGGCGTTATTGGCGTTATAGGCGTTATTGGCGTTATAGGCGTTATAGGCGTTATTGGCGTTATTGGCGTTATTGGCGTTATTGCATTTTAAGTTATTGAAAACAAAAATCAATACATTTGGATATGGCGTTCCGTTACGGACAATATTATGAAAGTTGTAGATATAATATCAAAGCCAATATTAAAATACCAAAACTCGCAATATAAATATGAAACGTTCCAAATAATATCAAGTCGTCAAACGTTATACCAAAGTCATGGACAATTTATATAAAAAAATCTGTAACAAATATATAAACGCACGCATTAAATATTAAAATCCGTAATCAAAATATCAAATTTTCACGCACACAAAAAATATCAAATTTCACGCCACAAAAAGTACCAAATTTCACGCTCACAAAAATATCAAATTTTTACGCACACAAAAGTATCAAATTCTGGCTATTAGTAAAACCAGGAACAACGGAACACCGGAACACGGAACACCGCATTCTCGTACCCAGAGGCCAGAGCCCTTCTTACGCGCGGTGCGACGAGGGGCTCTGGCCAAATCCATATTCCGAAGTGGCATCTGATTGGCTAGTGCTAACACCGGACATTGTTTTCTTACCATGTTTTTATGGTATCCGGTTATGAATTTGGCCAGAGCCCCTCGTCGTACCGCGCGTAAGAAGGGCTCTGGGTACGAGAATGGGAACACCGGAACAGCATCATTCCGGAACACGGAACACCGGAACACTAAAAATTCTTAATTTGTTAAAATTCGGAAAAAAACACCGGGGGATGTGAAAGTATTACTGCAATAATTATTGCTTAAAACGTGCCCTTTTAATTTTCTGACTTGGCTGACGATAGCTACTAATAACGAACAGAAATCCTCGCAGAAATCAGTCTCAAAGTAATAAATATTTGCCCGCAAAATATAAATCAAACCTAGAATTGTTATTTGTTGAGAATAAATGGCCCATCGTTGTTTGTTGTTGAAAACATGTCAATCAAAATATTAAAGTAACAACAGTTGATTGGCTTCCTTGTTTTTACCGACTTTATTAATAGCTACTTTTGAAGTGCAAAAGGATAAATATTATTTTCAACTCTAGTTCGAAGTTGGTATTTAGCATCAAGGCCATGTAAAGGTAGAGTAATACGACCAACAAAATTGCTGCAACTTGCAACAAAATCTGATTTCTACGCATGTTAATTGAAAATGTTTACACATACATTACAAATCACGAGGCAACATGTGTCAACATTTCTACTTAACATGCATTGAAATCAGGTTTTTGTTGCAAGTTGCAGCAATTTTGTTGCTCGTATTACTCCAGCATTAAGTTGTATTATAAATCATGTTGCACTTCAAAAGTAGCTATTAATAAAGTCGGTAAAAACAAGGAAGCCAATCAACTGTTGTTACTTTAATATTTTGATTAACATGTTTTCAACAACAAACAACGATGGGCCATTGATTCTCAACAAATAACAATTCTAGGTTTGATTTATATTTTGCGGGCAAATATTTATTACTTTGAGACTGATTTCTGCGAGGATTTTTGTTCGTTATTAGTAGCTATCGTCAGCCAAGTCAGAAAATTAAAAGGGCACGTTTTACGCAATAATTATTGCAGTAATACTTTCACACCCCCCGGTATTATTTTCGAATATTAACAAATTAAGAATTTTTAGTGTTCCGTGTTCCGGAATGATGCTGTTCCGGTGTTCCGTTGTTCCTGGTTTTACTAATAGCCAGAATTTGATACTTTTGTGTGCGTAAAAATTTGATATTTTTTGTGAGCGTGAAATTTGATACTTTTTGTGGCGTGAATTCCGTAAAATTGATATTTTTTGTGAGCGTGAAATTTGATACTTTTTGTGGCATGAAATTTGATATTTTTTGTGTGCGTGAAAATTTGATATTTTGATTACGGATTTTAATATTTAATGCGTGCGTTTATATATTTGTTACAGATTTTTTTATATAAATTGTCCATGACTTTGGTATAACGTTTGACGACTTGATATTATTTGGAACGTTTCATATTTATATTGCGAGTTTTGGTATTTTCATATTGGCTTTGATATTATATCTACAACTTTCATAATATTTTCCGTAACGGAACGCCATATCCAAATGTATTGATTTTCGTTTTCAATAACTTAAAATGCAATAACGCCAATAACGCCTATAACGCCAATAACGCCTATAACGCCCATAACGCCAATAACGCCTATAACGCCAATAACGCCTATAACGCCAATAACGCCTATAACGCCTATAACGCATATAACGACTATAACGCCTATAACGCCAATAACGTCTATAACGCCAATAACGTCTATAACGCCTATAACGCCTATAACTTGGCAATAACGCCTATAACGGCAATAACGCCTATAACGTCAATAACGCCTATAAGCCAATAACGCCTATAACGCCTATAACGTCAATAACGCCAATAACGTCTATAACGCCAATAACGTCAATAACGTCAATAACGCCAATAACGGCAATAACGCCTATAACGCATATAACGCCTATAACGCCAATAACGCCTATAACGGCAATAACGCCAATAACGGCAATAACGACTATAACGTCTATAACGCCAATAACGCCTATAACGCCAATAACGCCAATAACGACTATAACGCCAATAACGCCTATAACGCCTATAACGGCAATAACGCCAATAACGCCTATAACGACTATAACGCCAATAACGACTATAACGTCTATAACGCCAATAACGCCTATAACGCCAATAACGTCTATAACGCCTATAACGCCAATAACGACTATAACGCCAATAACGCCTATAACGCATATAACGACTATAACGCCAATAACGACTATAACGCCTATAACGCATATAACGACTATAACGCCTATAACGCCAATAACGTCTATAACGCCAATAACGTCTATAACGCCTATAACG